TTACTTTGTCCACACAGTTTTAAAGGGGGGGGGGGCACAGAGAAAGGAGAGTATAGTGCCTAGCAAAGTGAATGGAAGGTCAGATAAGGAAAAAAGAGTATAACGCCTTTTCAAGAAGCTCAGCTGAGAAAGAAGAGAAGGAGTTTCAGCAAGGGAGATACTTTGCATGCATGTGGCATCATGTTGAGAGAGATTTGAGGGACAAGAAATAAGAGAGAGAGAATGATCTTGAAGATATAGGGGAGAGAGAGCAAAGTCCCAAAGGAGGCAGAAGAGGATGTGATGAGGAGGTTTTCCTCAAAACCCACAATTATTATGGCTGGAAAAATCAAGATAACAAAATTCACTTTAGAGCATGCAGAGAACAAGGAGGAAAATGGGAGACTGGAAAAGCAGGACTTAACAGATGTGGTTATGGATTTTGTCTCTGTCTGGAAGATAGTGAACCAGTGTAGAGTTTTAAGCAAGCATATGATATGGTCACTTAAAACTCTCACTTTATAAGTTTCCATATAAATTATTATGAGAAGCACCAAGTTCTGTGGCCAGTTACAGAAATCCAACTCCCTTCAATGTTAAGACTAATTAGGATACACTGAAAACTTCAGGAAGCAAACTGTCTTGCACTCATGGATTGCTGACACATAGTAGGTCCTCAGTAAGTATCTGATATATATTCCCAATGTGCTAGTTTCCAAGCACACACAGTCTCTTAAAGGTAGGTGACTTGTACAATGACTATGTCCTTCCTGAAGAATCCTTCCTCTCATCTCTCAGAGTCCTGCTTCACTAACTCATCCCCTGAAAAATCTTAAGTCCTCTCAGTGATTGGTTTCTGCCAGTTATATCAGAAGCAAACAAGCAAATAAAAAAAAAAACACTGAAGACTTATCCCTTCAGTGTTATCAGAGTGTATTTCCACCAAGTATTTCTCCTTTCAAGATTTGGAACAATTTTTCCTACTATGCCAAAAACCTTAACAACACCCTGAGACAAGTGGCTGAGAACACAAGAACTGATACTCTACAACCTCCCATAGAGCCAAGTAAAGGTTCTCTGGCTACCTGGGAGTAGCTCTTTACCTCACATGAGGGAATCATGTTACAGGGAATCTTGACCATGTTACAGGAATCTTGGGTTACGCAGAGGAGAGGTAGAAATGTTCCCCAAGGATGTCTTGTGTGGCAATTTCATGTTTCGGGACTGGAAGAAGACATATGCTTATACTTTTGTGCAAGAAAAACTGGAGGAAGAACAAGTAATTAAAGGGCCATCCATGCCCTCAGCACTGGTTAGCCTGAAGGACCAGCTTCAAGTTCTGGGAATAAAAAAAGTTAGGAACGAAAGCAGGAGCAGCTGTGTTCTTGAATGTTGTTTGGAAAATAATCATAGGCTTCCTAATTCTGTAAGTCCATGCAACGAATGAGACATCAGTATGGAATGCATCTTGCCACCGACCTCAGAACACTCTGTCCCTGAAAGGAGTGTGGGCAAGACACACATGCAGAGAAAGCATGGTGAGCAGTCGGAGAAACCAGGGCCACAGAAGATTCTCATAGATGGCACTAGAGGCAGAGCCTTGCAAGTGGCCAACTCTCCCCAAGGAAAACTGAGGTTAAAGAACATTCATGTGAAGCAACCCCTGGAAATAATATTGCCAAATAGAATACAGAGCACCCAGTTAAATGTCCATAGCAGATAAATAACGAATGATACAATTGTATAAGGCCTTCTAACAATATGTGCTACCTTGACATTTAAAACTGGGAGGATCTTGGACCTAACCACAAGTCCTCCGTTACCCTATTATATTTCTACAGATATTGTTCCTTGGCCAAACTACATTCCTTTTTGTAACAAACAACTGTAGTGTCTTCTTAGCGCTGAGCAATGATGTTCAGTTCCTTGTCAGCCCATGGAACTTTTTAAACAAGCGAATTGCATCCTCTGCAGAAATTAGGCGTCACTTCAACTTGTTGGTGTGATAAACCTCATCTCCCACAGCTCCTGTTATGTGCATTGTGTTTCCAAGGTCAGCACCCTACTGAGGGGCATGCAATGTTCTACAACATGGGCTGTGAATACAAGTGACTAATAAACCTCAGAAAATAATAACAACCACTAACACAATACGGATGAGTGGTCGATACATTGATGCTTTAAATTTCCTAGATTAAATAGGTGGCGAGTAAACCTTCTATAAAAGATTGAGTTGAATATGAAGAGGAATGCTTGTAAAGGTTGGGGAAAGCTTGGAATTCTTCTATGAAGTAAATAGAAGACAGATCTGATTGACAGAAGTCAAAGAGTTTAATGTAGTTTGGGTTGAGACTCACTGAGTTTGAAAACCATCCACAAAGTTGTATGACAATCTCCAAAAGAACTCCTTATGCTGGGTGTAGGATAGAATCAGAGGAATTGAAATTGATCAAAAGCTAGAGAATTCCTGAGAGCTTCCTGCATAAAAACAGAATTAAGAGTATTGGTGAAAATAGTTTAGGCAATCAATCAGGTTGTTCAAATTGGACAAAAGAGGAAAAGTCAATAGCAGTATTTATTACTGCAGATTAGAATCAGATAGGTAAACTGCAAAGTGAATTGTGGGAAGGGTATGGAACATTTGTAAGGAGGTATACTGTTATTTTTTTCCAAAATAAAAATCATAATTTCCTTTGTGATTAAAAATATTCAAGTTAAAGTATAACACAACCCAAAGTCAGGTTATCATGTATCCTGGCAAGCCCTGTGCTCCATACAGGCACCAGGATCAAAGGACCTACAGGAACTAACATTCAGCCTAAAAATCCTTGAGGGGTATTTTCAACTCACATATGTATCATAAAGATCAACACAGTTTTTACACAGGAGAAATCAGTGTTAGCATTTTAGTGGACATCTTCTAGACATTCTCTGCAGTACATGCAGATTTATGTAGACGGAATCATATTATGTGCTGCTTATAAGTTTTGTTAAAAACAGGAAAAATAACAATTCCAAGTCATCTCCCAATTAATGAATGTATTTATGGAATTTAATTTTGGTTATCCTCATGATCCCTTAATTCATTTCATGGATTTTCTAATAATGAACACTTAAAGAAATATCCTTCCATCTTACATTTCCACCAATAGTGTATGAACAATGCCCAGTTCCCCTCATTCTCATTTTTTTTTAAATCTTGAAAATTTGGCAAGTACTTCAGGTAAAAACAGGTATATCAATACTACTCTCAATTATTTTATTCTCTAATTTATTAGACATCTATTTATATGTTTTTAATTAAATTTTCTATTCCTGTTATTGTTAGTAAGAATAGCCATAAAACTTACAGTGTATCTAGATTTGAAAACTACTTGCTAGAACTATGACCACGATTATATTACTTTGCCCTTCTACCTTATAAGGCTTTCCTGAGGATTAGATGACTTAATATAAATAAAATGCTTAGAAAAGCTCTAGACAGACAGAAAATGTGATATAAGTGCAGGCTATTGTGGGTGTTGTTCAAATCAACCTCTTTACTCTTCTGACTATAGCACCATAGTGAAGACTGACTTTGTAGTCTGGTGAGATTTTGACACCAACAGTCCTAATACTGATCATGTGATGCTGAGTTTTGATTTACTTATTTGCAAAATGGGAATCATTATAGGATAATTTTAAGTACTAAAGGGTTAGTTCTTAGAAAATTGTGAAAGGTCACCGGCAAAGCAAAAGCAATCAACAAATAGCAACTACTATTAAATTCACAATTATTTTTTCCTTATGATATATATTCTAAACATTAACCTTTGTGTATTGTAGACATTTTAATTTCTTTCCTAGTGTACCTGTCAGGGGCCCTGTAGAAAACAAATAGCACAAATTAGAATAATTTGAGGAAGCAATCCAATTATAAAGCCGATACCTTGATTTAGAAGATAGGGATTAGAGGAACCACAGGAGATCCTGCAGTAGCTCCCGAGGTTGACTATCTCTGGAGCTAAGGGACAAGGGGAAGCAGAGATTTTTACAACCTGAGAAGAAAAATGAATATTGACCTAGTAATACAGCAATTTCTGGGTGACCACACAGAGAATAGCAAGGAAAAGAAAATCCTGATGTCATTCTGTCTTCATTACATTGCTTGCAGACTTTCTACTGACTGAGCTATAATTTTAGTCAATTTCAGTAATTCTTGGGGTTCCTGGAAGGCTACCACTCATTCACAGAGATAGGGAATTTAATAAGGATGGAGAGTGAATTTCATGAGTCACTTTACACTGTCATTTTTATCTTGGTTTATGACATCTTTTGCCAAAAATGTTTGTCTAATTTTTATTTAATTAAATGAAGTTAAACTTCTTTTAAAATTTTAGGCATTGATGTCATATTTAGGCTATTCCCATTCAAAGATTATGAAACTATTTCCACATTAACCTTTATGTCTATACTTTTAGCATTCCCTTTGTTGTATTTAAGTACTTTACCCATCTGGAATATTTTCTGCATTCTTTTCATTTCTCAATGTCTAAGCATTCAAATATACTTTATGAAATTATTCATTTTAGGGGTTATGCTTGGATTGGATATTTTATTTTGATGGATTAAAAAGTGAAAGAATATGGGCCAGAATTAGGTATTAATGTTTTAAAATTGTGCTAGGATATGTGAGAAATAGAAATTTAAAGAAGACAGATAATGAATGCAGATGAACGTGAAGCTGGGAGTGTGGTACATGCCTGTAATCACAGCTACCTGGGAGACTGAGGCAGAAATATAGCAAGTTCAAAGCCAGCCTGGCCAACGTAGTGAGACTCTGCCTCAAAGTAAAATAAATAATAAATAAATAAACAAACAAGGCTGGGATTTAGCTCAATGCTACAGTGTTCCTAGGTTCATTCCCCAGTACTGGGGGTAAAAAAATGAAAAGGAAAAAGTGACATCAGTAGTCATTTAGGCTTTCTAAATACAATTTCCTTTGCCTAAACTCTGTTTCCTAACCCAACTCTACATTCCAGACTTTTTCTGCTGATTGGAGTGATCCAGTCCTTTCAGACTCATCTCAAAAAGCCGTATCTTGCAAAGTTTCCCCCATCTGTTACCTCCATGTTCCCAGGTACTTTGCATGCTTTCTTTTATTGTGCTTACACTACTTTAGTGACTGCATTGATGATGTTTCCTGGATTAAATGTGAGATCCTCAAAAGCAAGACCAACTAGAATTTCGCCTTTATTTCTCAATTTCTAGATCATGTCCTAGAAAGTTCATAGATATGTCCCAAGCAATATATATTCAATAGTAACGAAAACTAACTTAGTGGCTAATAAAAGACATGGATTTTCTCTGGGGGTTGGGAGGCAAAGGCCAGACAGCCAGGTTTAGTGTTAAGACAAGTTTTAAAATAGAAGTTAACTGAGAATGTGGGAAATTACTGAGGAAAGCATCTGCTAAGGTTCACTGGCAGGCTTAAAGTTAGGAGGATCTGGCCTGGCAGGGGAGTAACTGTAAGAGAGGAAGAGAGAAGGTTGAAGCAGGCAGACAGCTCAGGTGTGACCATTCAAAGATTATGAGACTCGATGAGAGAAGGGCTTGTTCAGGGTCAAAAAAGAAGTAGTATTCTGAAGGAGAAATAAGGGCATCTCATCTTCCTTCTCTAATTCCTGTTTTTAATGGATCACGTAAATTTGTACTCATTTTGGAAGTTTAAATTTTCTTCCAAAGCCTCTTTCATTTGTGGCAGACACTTAATTTACAAAAGTTGACATTCTTAGGAGGAGTAGATGGGCAGGGCCGAGGAGCTAGGGGTAAAAGTGAGAGCTGGGTGATGACATGGTTGCTTGCCTAATGGGGTCCAACAGGCAACCTCCAGAACTTGTATCACAATTTATTATGCCCATTGACTTCCTTATTAAACACGTTTGAACTTGGTCTCTGCCTAACATGTGACTATTAGTGCTTTAAAAAATAATCAAGTAGTAACAATTAATATTTGTTTTCTTTGTGAGGGTTCTGGTAATTGAACCTAGGGGCTCTTTGCCAATGAGCCACATATTCAGCCCCTTTTTTATATTTTATTTAGAGACAGGATCTCACTGAGTTGCTTAGGGCCTTGCTAAGTTGCTGAGTCTGACTTTGAACTCATGATCCTCCTGCCTCAGTCTCCCAATCCCCTGGAGTTCAGGCATGAGCCAACATGCCCGGCTAATATAATGATGAATATTCTTCACAGTATCAGGTATTAAAATTATAAACTAAATCAAGTAATATTGAAAATCTTCTCCTACATATAATTTTATTGAGCTCATCATATTTTACCCCATTCATTTTACTCTATTTGCTGTAAATAAACATTGAGAATTTTAGGTAGAGAAATTATGTGTATTTTCATCAATAAGCTACAGGTGTATTTATGTTTTTCACATGTAAAATATCTTGAGCACAAAATTTGCAAATTGCTACTTATATTCTGCAGATGTAGAAACAGTTTATAGACTCCATTAGCCTCTTTCTCCAATGTACACATATCTCTGCCTCTTTTAAGCGAGGAGTTACACAAGTACAACAACAGTAATGTTAGTAATAAAATGGTTATACAGTACTTACTATGTTCCAGGCACAATTTCATGCCCTGAATATTCTCATTTTAGTTAGTACTTATATCCTTTCTATAAAATATTCTTCTTTTAAAGATGAGGAAATCAAGGCAGAGGGGATATCTTAAGTCAATTTTCTGTTGCTATTACAGGACAACTGAGACGGGGTAACTGATGAGGAAAATGAATCTAGTTCTTACAGTTTTTGGAGGCTGAAGCTCAAGGTTAAGAGTTTACATCTGATGAATGCTGCCCTCTGCAGAGTCCTAAGGTACAGCAACACATCATGTGATGATATGGAGGATCCTTGATAACTTGGGTCCCTTTTTCCTCTTCTTCTGAAGCCCCATTCTCAACTCTTAATTTACTTTGAAAGGCCTACCTCCAGCTATTATTAACATGTGACTTTGGAGATTAAGTTTCAACATGAGTTTGGGAGAGGACAAATACCTAGACCATAGCAGAGAGGTTAAATGACTGATAAAGGTTCACATAACTAATAAGTAGAAGAACCCAGTTAGGCTGTCTCTTGAGTCTAATATATAGTTCTGCTCCCAAAATACACATATAATCCAGATTATCATGGTACTAACTCCCCTTTGTTTGGAATCAGTGCCTGTACAATATTTTCTGGCTGGCTCTAAGAGTTTCTTGGGCATTGCCAGTTATAAATTAATCCACATTGAGCTTGAGGAGGTAAGTTTGCCCTTCACCTGTTTCTCCTTAAGCATGAGGCAGACTCTTATTTGCCACAGCATATAGGAATCCAGATTTTAACCTTTATATTTTAATCAAAGTTTAGAGGTAATGCAAGGAAAGTCACCACATTAATTTACTTTTAACTTCCACAGGAGCCCAGACCCACTCTCAGTTTTCCTATCGAGTTCTAACCAGTTTGCTCTAGTTTGTCTTTGCTCTTAACATCTACCTTCCTCAACTCTGTATCTGCAATCCAAAGTTCAAAATATGAGGCAAGGCTCAGAGTTGTAGTTTAATGATGATCTAAAGACCTATATTCTTTCTGACTTTCTCAAATAGTAAACTAAAATCAAGTATAGATGGATTAAGAATTTTATCATAATGGGTCTTTTATTTATATCTGATCAGAGTACTTGTGTAACTTGTAACAGTAATGTTACTGCACAATACAAATACTGTTCCCAAAATATGACATGCTCAATAATTTAAAAAATCTGTAAAAGGATGACACAACATATCTCATTTCCTTTACCTAAAAGAAAAGTATCATACCCAGAAATTCTGATTTAAAAGAGCCAGGTGGGGCCTGACCATTGCCATTTTCGTGAACTATACAGTGGTCGTGGATAAGAAACATTGGTCTAGCTGAACATCTTCCTGGCTCAGAACACAATTGAGAGTCTAAAGGGATGTTTTACATAGTGTTTTTGTGTATTCTATTGATTTTTGTGTTGAAATTTTCACCATTTAAAAAATTACAATGTTATTTCCAATTACCAAGATCCTGATAATAGAAATTAGACAGACATTTTATTAAAGTTATTTGGTTACATTCCTTATATTATGAAGTTCTAACTTTTCATTTAATCAACATTTAGGCATTATAAGGGATGTAAAGATTTTTTTAATATTCTTTTGAGAGTTTAATATAAAAAGAATTTTCAATGAATATTATTAAGAAAGAATAATTAGATAAAATTATATATTTCAAAAGTCTAATTTATCTTTTCAAGTCATAAATGTGTATTTTTTTCTATTTTATACATGCATACCACAATGTAATTTATTCAAAGTATAGATAATTTTAGTTATTTAGTAGAGAGTAATGAATAAAGGTGGGCTTTCTTTAAATGACATTTTAAATATCTTTCCCTATTAATAGCTTATGTTCTCAAACCACATGAGAGCTCTTCTGATTAGATTTATTTATTTTCATGACTTGTGTGGGGATTCTTTGGATACTTTAAAAGCATGGATATCCTTTTCACCTTGAAGTGTACCCTGGATTTCCTCTCTGTTCTATGTGTTTAGCAATGAAATGTGTGTTTTCTTCAACAGATATTTATTGATCACTTATAAGTGCTATGAGACTGGTTACTAGGGCTCTCCATGAGGAATATAGCTAGGATCCCTGCCCTCCTGAATGTTGCAGTTTGATCCAGTATTTCTCAACTTTACTGGGCCTATAAGTGACCTGGATCTTGTTAAAACTCTGATTTCTGATGTGATAGCTCTAGGACTTAGGCTAAAAGTCAGTACTGTGAACAATCTTCCAGGTGAGGCTGATGTTGCTGTTATGCATATCACACTTTAGATCATAAGATACTTCCCTTCCTTGGTAGCTCTAGGGTTCAGTGACCACTATTATTCAGTTGTTACAGACATATGTTAATCTATGAAATATACAATTTAAATCAAATAGGGTTGTTTTCATCTTTGCCATTACTCTCATTGTAGTTCCACTCTGTAACTCAGTTATAACCTGTTCGAAGGCAGGAAATAAGTTACTAATTTCCTTATCTCTCATTGTGCTCAGAGTGCCTGCAATCAGAGAAAGTACTCAATGAATACTTAATAGGTGATATGTGGTAACTTAGTTTTAACTTTACATAGGGGCTGAAGGAAGTACTACATGACTTATCAAGGACCCTGGAATGATGATATTAAATATCTTTGGAGGTAACAATGTTGGCATTGGAAGGACTGATGACTTCCACTGCAGCCCAACAGCCAGGCTCCTTTTTACTTCCTGCATATATTTCAGTCAGAAAGCAGCTGCATTTGCTGCATTAGAGAAACCCTCTCCCCTTCAAAAGAAAGGGCCTAGATTTAAAGCATTTGTGGAGAGGAAGCAGGGTTGTGTTAATCTGTAGAAAGTGTTTGTAGGAAAATATAGTTCTGATTATTCCCACTTGCCCCTTCTGAATAGAAATGGAAATTATGGGCTTCATTTTATTATTTTAATTAGTCTTAAGCAGTCCTTTAAAGATCCCTAAGAGGCCCAAAGCCACAGTACTTATGTGTATATTTTATAGTTCTGGATGCTATAGAGATTGGTTTTCATGTTTCAAATAATTTTATGCCTGGACATTAACATTAAATGCATATGGGACGTTAAATGCATATGGGAACATGTAACTGCTATTTGTTGCATAAACTCCCACCAAAGGTACCCAACATCTCCATTTTTCTTGCTTTGAGAAATGCCTCTCTTTAGCCGACTTTAAAGAAACATGTTACTGTATGTTAAGCTGCTTTCTCAGAACATGGATTCTTGTGCACAAACTGAGAGTTTTTGCATGTTGCAAAGAAAGCCATTTTCCTTGATGACGTGGATCCTTTCCCAAAGACTTCATGCATGCTGCTGCCTGCTGCTTTGGGTCTATCACTGCCACCCAAGGAGCACGGCTTTCTATTTCTCTAACATGGGTGACTCACTGTGACAATGGTAATTAGTTCTCAGCATTTAATGAATTATAGAGAAAGCATAGAAGGCCAAAACCTAAGAATCAACTCCTGTTTGAAGGATAGTGAAGCTTATTCTAAACCAATGTTTGTTTGTTTTTCACTGCAGATAAATAACACCAACGGAATCATTTTATACACATTGCCTGCAACAGAGTGGGTCTTGAGAGTGGAGTCAATGCTGAGCACTTTATTTAGATTGCAAATTATCTAGCTGCCTCAGCAGACTGCGAAATCAACTGGAAGCTTTTCAGCATTTAATTAAGCAGGACAAAGAAAGTCCCAATAATAACAGTGTGAAACTGCCAGGGAAAAAAATTATGAATACAAAGGAAGAAATCATCAGTAATTAACCCCAATCTGAGACTGCAGAGGAGCCTCCAAAACAAGAGGGGAGCACATGCAAATAATACTAAATTTGCTTGTCTTGAATGATTTCATTGTGTTTTAATTTAATATAAATTTACGAGAACAGCCACCCAATTGCTAAGGGAAAAAAATCATTCCCTGTAGAAATTCCCCAAACCTTACTAGGGCAGGTGAGTTTTGCACAAGTGTGAGCTTTTCCTCTGGTGCATTTATTGAATTTTTACAATATTACTTTATAGTCCCCTATTGAGATATTGTGAGTAAAACAAAACAAAACAAAAAAGAATGGATATGGTGGCTGGGATTGGAGAAGGGAGGAAATTCTGCCCAAGAAAATATACAAAGTGAGATTCATTGACAGGCTGGAATCTATCTTTCCCCACCTCTTGGCAACATGGAAAGCTTATATTTAAAGAAATTTCCTCATATGTACTTCTTTAATGATACATTCCCTGGCCACCGTTGTTTATCCACTCTTAGCATTTTAAATTATCTTAATTAATTAGAATAGCTCACTTTGCCTTATGATTATTTATTCTATGTCATGAGTCAAATCTCAGCTTTTTTGAAGAATGGTCTGCATCTTATATTATTCATCCTTATATTTCAAGAACTAGGACCGTGTCTAATCATTTAATGTATTTTTGAATAAAGTTTTTTTTTAATGTAAGTGTTAAACCTTTTATTTATATGTAAATGCAAAAGCATTGGATTCATGTAATAAAGTGACATTGACTACATGTTAGGGTGAAATGATTTTTAAAGACTTGGTGTCAATATCACAAATACAGATTGATATTTCAAACAGGAATCCTGATAATAAAAAGGTAATGAATCAAAATAATACTTGCTTCCTAAACGCACTGCTTACACATTTATGCCCTATGGATTCTGAGATTTTTGTAAACATTGATTAGTTATAATTGAAGTCTGTTTCACATGGTCTGATTAATAATTACTATGGGTACAAAGATAATTATATGACCAAGTTTTGCTTTCAGGAGTTTGAGACTTAGGAATGTTTAATTTATTAAATGACCCTACAAAGCATAGAAAAAAAAACCACACAGAAATGCTACTTATTACATTATTTACACAACTTGATGTGGTATTTTATTTATGGTATTTATTCACATATAAGTACTCTGTGTGTGTGTGTGTGTGTGTGTTTATATAGGGAAGCTTAAATATGAACAACATCAGTAGCCCTTTTTGTTCTTTATTTTGAGACAGGGTCTCCCTGTCTCAAGTTACTTAGGGCCTTATTAAGTTGCTGAGGCTGGCCTCAAACTTGTAATCCTCCTGCCTCAACATCCCCCATTGCTGGGAGATTCAATTTTTTAACTTTTTGGATAGCTATTTACCCTAAAGACTTGGGAAATGCAGAGTTAC